GGGGGGGGGGGTTATTAAGTTGTAGGAACACAATCCCTGTGGTTTGTAAAGAATGTTTTAAGCCGGACCTGAATGTGGCATACAAATAAAGAATTCCTGGGTTGTTCCCTTATCACCCAGCATGAGTATTTTTGTACCTAATTTGCAACAAAGACAGAGCTTGTGAACAGCAAAACATATCCTTTGCAACGACATTTTTGTGAATGTCCTTTGAAACAGTGCACTGACTTAGGAGAGGAATTCAGAGCAGCTGTTTACAGAAAAATAAATTTGACACACTTAAACCCAGGTACGGCCAGGTGGGAGCACAGTTTTATGGTGGAAAAATCCCTCTATTCAGAATTAAGAGTCTCTTAAATGGCATCAGACAGAGGTCCCACTAGAATGTTGGGGGGCCTCATCGTTTGAAGTCTTCTTCCCCAATGGGTGAATTCCAATCAGGTGGAGGGCTGTTTCTCATTTTCCACACTGGTGCATACTTCTGTTTCTTGGCCATCCGTTGTCGCTCGCTGTCACACAACTGTTCCTGCCACAGATCAAAGCTGTTATTAATAATATCCCAACACTCGGAACACACAGTACTTTTCAGAGTGAAATAGATCCGTAGGGACCTTGGTACTCTCTGAGCTTGGTGGTTTTCTTGCAGACGTTTCATTACCCAAACTAGGTAACCTCATCAGTAGCAAACCCCACTCCCTTCTAGCACTGATGACGTTACCTAGTTTGGTAATGAAACGTCTGCAAGAAAACCACCAAGCTCAGAGAGCACAAAGGACTCCTCATTTCAACCTTGAGCTACAAATGTTCTCCTTTATTGGAAGAGATCTGTGTCCAAAATGGCTTCTGCTCTGTAATTTGACACTGTTTTTAAACCTTTGTTACTGTCAGAATTTGTCAAGAGTGTAAGGGCAAGGCCAAAACTTTCACAGAAAGTTGAAAAATCGGCAAACTACACCGTGGTAGTCCGGTGGTTAGAGTGCAGTATTGCAGGCTGACTCTGCTCACTGCTAGCAGTTCAATCCTCACTGGCTCAAGTTTGACTCAGCCTTCCATCCTTCCAAGGTCAGTAAAATGAGAACCCAGATTGTTGGGGGGCAAGAGGCTGAGTCTGTAAACCCCTTAGAGAGGGCTGTAAAGCACTGTAAAGCGATATATAAGTCTTAAGTGCTATTGCTATTTGAACAATAAAATCAACTTTTGATCACACCTATCTCTTTATAGGAAGCACCCATCCTGTTTTTTGCAAAGGTACAATAACTACATAGAATAAATTTGGTATAGAGATTAAATCGCCGGGCTGGAAACCAGGAGACCCTGGGTTCTAGTTCAGCTTTGGGCCAGCTGGGTGCCTTTGGGCCAGTCCCTCTTTCCCAGCCCTGGAAAGGATGCAACAGAAACCATTTCTGAAAAACATTGCCAGGAAAACTGCAGGGATTTATCAGGGCAATCTCCCAACAAGTAGACACAACCGAATGGAAGAGGAAAAAATGTAGGCCGTTCCTGCTACTGATCAACCAAGCAGAAAGAGAAATGTTTTTTTCTGTTGTTTTTTTAAAAATTTCGTACGGCATGGCAAAATGCAGCAGCACGGTGGAGAAAATTCACAGAAGCAACCTACAAAACGTGTATCAAAATACAAAACCCCAGAGCAGTGCATTGTCTTAAAAACACACAAGTACGAGTGAGGAATAAACTTAGGAATAAAATTATGTTTCTATAACTTCCATCCAGTCACTGAAGCAATAGGCGTGAGGTTAAATGGACTCCAGAAGATGGTAGAAGACAGGAAGGCCTGGAGGAACGTTGTCCATGGGGTTGCGATGGGTGGGACACGACTTCGCAACTAACAACTTCCATCCTCCAGATCCCACACCATACCTTGGTCGCCGTGCTTTTTGTTCTCTCCCACTCTTTGCAGTTCTTGTAATCCTTTTTCCACTGCGCGCACGACGGCGTCTCCCCGTAAGTGTAATAATGATGGTATAGATTACGGATGCTCCGACACAGCTTCCATTCAGACCAGTAATCTGCGCAGGCTCGGGGCGGCTGTCGGACACACACAGCACAAAAATACAGGACAGGCAGTCCTCGACTTAGTGACCGTTCAAAGTTACAACAGCGCTGCAAAAAGTGACGTAAGGACCATTTTTCACACTTAAAGACGACCCTTGCAGTATCTTCCCCGTGGTCACCTCATCAAAATTCAGACGCTCAGCAATTGACCCATATTTACGACGGTTGCAGCGTCCCCGGAGTCACACGATCCGCTTTTGCGACCTTATGACAAGCAAAGTCAATGGGGAGGCCAGATTCGCTTAACGACCAGGTTACTAACTGAACAACTGCAGCGATTTTTACTTTAACAACCGGAGCCAGAAATGTTGTAAAACGGAGCAAACTCACTTAACAAATGTTTCACTTAGAAATTTTGGGTGTTGTGGTCATTAAGTTGAGGACTCCCCGTACAAGCAGCTGTTTGTCGGCTTTGTTTGCAATTGTGCTGAAAGACCCACAAATCTGAGATTCACCCAGATCAGAAGAAATCAGCAGGACCCACAAAGCGGGATCCTGCAACGTGTGCTTAAATGTTCTTCATTTTTGCCTTCTGACTTTCTCACTTTTCCTTAATCTCAATTTTTACCCTTTTAGATCTCACTCACTGGACTCATCCGATGCTTATTTTTTTTCTAGGCAGTTAAGCTTTCCTGCTTTATTTATTGTCATTTGTTTGATTGTTGTGAGCCATCCAGAGTGGATTCAGAGTCAGGCGGCATCCAATTTTGACCCATTATTTATAAATATATTAATTACGATACACCTATCACGCTAGTATCCCAACAGCAATCAGTGTTATATTACAGAACATGTTATATCTATTTCAATACGTCATATACATTTAATTAATAGGTATATTACATGCAATATGTAACATACGTACTAATATAATATAATTTTTTACTTATTAAATTTACACCCGTGTTGCAACCCTGGGCAACCTATAATTTTATTTGAAATGTAGAGTATAAAATGTAATAAAAAACATGACGCCCGGCATATACATTTATGCTGAAACACAGAATGTAAAATATAAGTAGAATAATGCACGATTATGATATAGGGTTTCCTGCCTGAGCAGGGGGTTGGACTAGATGACCTCCAAGGTCCCTTCCAACTTTATTATTATTATTATTATTATTATTATTATTATTAGCTTTCACGTTCCCACGGGCACCGGAGAGGGCGCTCCAATGGGTGGGCGGGCTGCTAAATCCCGAAGAAATGCACCACCGGGGGTGCTTTCACACGACCTGCAAACTCCCGTGTCCTGCATTCGCACAACCTGCGAGTTACACCGCGAGAAAGGCGTTTCTTTCCTGCTGGATCGAGGGAATGACCCTCCCAGGGGCCAGTTTTTCAATATTAGCCCCGATTCTGGGCTAATTGTGACCCAGGAAAGCTCACCCGCCAAGATCCGCTTTCATCGGCCATCGCTCCGGTGGAGGAACGACTCCCGTAGGGGCGGGGCTTCTGGCCGATCGTCCCCGCCCACCTTTGTCCCAATGGGCGGGGCAAAGCGCCAATGGGAACTTGACAGGGACCTAAGGGCTGCAGTCAACAACGCGCAGCCCTCTCTTCCGGTTCTCTTGTGCAATGGAAAAAGCGGATAGGCGGGTCAGCCTCGGAGGGGGGGGGGAACTCAGGGCTACAGTCCGTAGCGAGCACACACCGCTTCCGGTTCCCAGATGTAAAGGAAGAGTTCCTCCATGTGCGGGTTAAAATAAATAAATAAATAAATAAATAAATGGTGTTTTAAAAGCTTCCAGTTTAAAACAATTCAAGGCAGGAATGCGAATCAATGTAATTTCTCCAGTCTGGTCGTTTTGGCCATGTGGGCTGGGCTTCCTGGGAATTGTGGTCGCACGATAGGGGGCTGGGAGGCTCACATTGGAATTTAAATTTTTTTCAAAAAAATATTGAGTGCGTTATTCACAATTCATACCCTAGTTCTCTTTAAAGCCAAGCAATTGGACCCGAATGTCATTTGGCTACTGGAAAGAGCAGTTTCTCAACCTGAAAACCCACAAAAATGAAACTTGGGGGGAAAGTAGCAATTGTATTTGTTGATGTTGGCTGGGGAAGTGGGCTAGGAGACCTTGCCCTCTAGATCAGGGGTAGTCAACTTTGGCTCCTTTATGACTCGTGGACTTCAACTCCCAGAATTCCTGAGCCAGCCTGGCTCAGCTTGGAAACCTCTCCCTTTCCCCTCAGCGTGGCTGGCTTAGGAATTCTGGGAGTTGAAGTCCACGAGTCATAAAGGAGCCAAGATTGACTACCCCTGCTCTAGATCATCTGTCTTCCCCACCACCATCGCCACCAGTGGAATCACTGCTTCCTAGGAAGGCTAAGGCAGGCAGGCCCAAGGGTTAAAGCCAAGCGCTCCCAGATTGTTAGCAAGTCGCTCTTAGTTAACACTGATAATAATAATAATAATAATAATAATAATAATAATAATAATAATAATAATAATAAAGTTGGAAGGGACCTTGGAGGTCATCTAGTCCAACCCCCTGCTCAGGCAGGAAACCCTATACCATCTCAGCCAAATGGCTGTCCAGTCTCTTCTTGAAAACTTCCAGTGTTGGAGCATTCACCACTTCTGGAGGCAGGTTGTTCCACTGGTTAATTGTTCTAACTGTCAGGAAGTTTCTCCTTGCTTCACTTTCTTAAAATGAAATATACAAATAGGAGAAAATATCTGTAGCTCAGGCTTGATCTGTGGGGTCCCTGCTTGGTGGAGGTGTTTTTTTTTTTGCAGACATTACATTACCTAACTAGGTAACAACATCAGTGCTAGATAGGAGGAGGAGGAGGAGGAGGAGGAGGAGGACTGTTGGGTCCTTGGTGCTCTCTGAACTTGGTTGTTTTCCTGCAGACATCTCTTTACCCAACTAGGTAACGTCATCAGTGCTGTAAGGGAGTGGGCTTTGCTCTCAAAACTGAAAAGTCTTCAGAAGCCAATTTTCATTTTCTGTTCAGATTATTAACGCGCTTGGCAGAGAAGCAGGAATACAAACAGCCTTGCCAGAAATGCTAGTATATAGGATTATTTTATTGTCTTCCGACTGCAGAGTTCAGGGTTTCCTGCCTTTCTTGCGAAGGGACTGACCTTCTCCGGAGAACGCAATAAAGCGAGTACCAGCATCATCCTGAGAAAACAAAGGGTAGAGAGGTTATTTCGACCCTAATTATTTTCTGGAATTGCATTCACAAACAGGCCCTGCTTCCAAGGCTATTCGGAAGAATACTTTTCAAGCTTATTGAGCATCCAGATTTTTTTTTTTTTTAGTAGAGGGTGGGTGGGGAGGGGACACCAGGAAAGCTTGCAGAAATCATTTCCGGGGATTTTGGCTTGCAAGCTACCTAACGCAACATTAGCACCAGATTTCCGTTTGTTTCAATTTTTTTTTTTAAAAAAAAAGAGGCATTGGATTATTTATTCCTTCTTATGCCATGGATCAAGGCTGCCCTGAGTTTTAAGATGGGAGAGGCGTATGAATGCAATAAACAAACAAACAAGACATGTCATTGGGTTAAAAAGAAAACCCAGCAAACACTAAAAAATTCACCACGTTTTCTGATATATTTGTTTCTTTTTTCCCCCTCCTAATCTTTTCGATTTCTCTGGAAAAACGATATATATTGCTGATGTTTGGAACGTGATGCATAACAGACCGCAGTCACCAGCTGCAACTTCCCTGGCTGGTTTGGGCCTCGGAGAAAGGCGACCCGCTTATTGAAGTTTACAATCTGAAATCCGGTTTAAAAAATAAAAATAAAGGTCCCTATCCAGCTTCACTCACCTCTTCAATTTTTTTGACCAGCGGCCGGGAATTTCTAATGAATGTGATCTTGCCAATTTTGAAGTCGTAATTCGGAATGCCCCTGCAAAGGGGAGGAGGGGGGGGGGAAAGTTAGCTGTTTAAAAAAGGCAGGAAAAGGTTTAATCAAGTCGATTTTGCATTTGGGGACCTGTGTTCACAGGCTCCCTTTGTTCTATGACTGGCTATTTTAACATAGTAAAATTTTACTGTACTTTATAAAGACGCCACAAGTCAAAAGGATGCTGGCTTTCGCAAGCATTTCAAAAATCAACCCGTTAATCCACAAAGACGGTCGCTGGATTCTCACAAAACGCTACTCTAACCCCCACCTCACCTCATTTTAGTTTAGTTCAAACCCAGCCATGAGTTATTTCGGCTGAAGCAACTTTACAAAATCAGCCAGTGTGGTTATTTTAACGTTGTTGTTAGCTGCGAAGTCGTGTCCGACCCATTGCGGCCCCATGGACCACGTTCCTCCAGGCCTTCCTGTCCTCTACCATCTTCTGGAGTCCATTTAAGCTCCTGCCTCCTGCTTCAGTGACTCCATCCAGTCACCTCCTTCTCTGTCGTCCCCTTCTTCTCTTGGCCTCCATCTTTCCCAGCATCAGGCTCTTCTCCAGGGAGTCCTTCCTTCTCATTAGGTGGCCAAAGTACTTGAGTTTCAACTTCAGGATCTGGTCTTCTAAAGAGCAGTCGGGGTTGATCTCCTCTAGGACTGACCGGTTGGATCGCCTTGCAGTCCAGGGGACTCACAGGAGTCTTCTCCAGCACCAGAGTTCAAAGGCCTCCATTCTTTGTCGCTCAGCCTTTCTTGTGGTCCAACTTTCACAGCCATACCTTGCAACTGGGAAAACCATGGCCTTGACTATACGTACTTTTGTTGGCAGGGTGATGTCTCTGCTTTTTAGTATGCTATCTAGATTTGCCATAGCTTTCCTCCCCAGGAGCAAGCGTCTTTTAATTTCTTGGCTGCAGTCCCCATCTGCGGTGATCTTGGAGCCCAGGAAGATAAAAATCTGTCACTACCTCCATTTCTTCCCCATCTATTTGCCAGGAATTGAGAGGGCCGGATGCCATTTTAACATAGTCTGTGGCAAACCCAGATAACAATAATTTATATATTAAACTAGGCCTAAACAAACAAGCGATAAACAAACCAGGCCAATCCAGGGAAAACAACAACGATCTGAGTGAATGATGGAAATAGAGAAAGAAAGGCACAACTAACCGTCGAATATCTCCTGGTTTAATTGGAGAAGGACTTGGCTCAACGCCTTTCTTTTTTCCATCCAACCTGTTCCCAGATCCAGAAAAGGCCTTAAGGGGGGGGGGAAAGAGAGAAAAATAATCACTCAACTTTGTATCTAGCACAAGTGCCATCAAAACTCAACTGAATATATTTAGATTTGCATCAAAGAAAGTTGGAAGCCATTCTTTTTTTTTTTGTGTGCCTTTACAGGTAAGTCCTTGACTTATGGCCACAACGGAGTCCAAACTCGCCGTTAAGTCAGACATTTGTTAAGTGAGCTTTGCCCCATTTTACGGCCTGCCTTGCCACAGTTGTTAAATGAATCACTTGCAGGTGTCAAGTTAGCAACACGGTCACTAAATGAATCTGGCTTCCCTATTGAGTTTGCTTGTCAGAAGGTTGCAAAAGGGGATCACGTGACTCCGGGGACACTGCAGCCGTCATAAACACGAGTCAGTTGTCAACTGTTTGAATTTTGATTACGTGACCACGGGGAACGCTGCAACGGTCGTCTGAAAAATGATCGTTTTTTACAGTGCCGTTGTAACTTCGAACGGTCCTTAAATGAACCGGTGTTAAGTTGAGGACTACCTGTATTTTTTTTCCTCTTTTTTTTGCACTTATCTTGCTTTTTGTTGGGTTCTTCCTCGTTTCTCTCTTTTCTTGCTTCCCTACTTTTCTTCCTGTTTTCAAAATCTATTAAAATCGTATCTTTAAAAAAAACAACCCTTAATGGAATAGATTTAAATCTGATTTCATCCCAAAGTTCGCCGAAGCCAACCCCCAAAGGGACAAAAACCGGGAGCATCACAGATCATCTTTTTTGCTGTTCCTTACAAGCACTCAGAAATTTGCAATTGGACCGAGGTCAGCTTTAAACTCTAATGATCGACCTAAGTAGGTTTTATCTCAATAAAGAGACTTACACGGAATCCCAGATCGCTCACATAACCGCTGTGGTCTGCTTCAACATCCTAAGAAACAAGGGGAGAAATAAACATAGGCAGCATAGGTGAAATATTCCTCAAGAAGAATTAGCTGTGATAGGCTTCTCACAAGCTCTGATTCTAACTTGCGGTCTGTTGGGAGCTATACCAAAGGAACAAAACAAACCTCTAATAAACCAGAGGTTTACACTTGGAATGACCCTGAGATTCCCAGTGGCACAGATCAGATTCAATCGCACCCAAATCCCTTGTGTGTCCAATCACACATGGCCAATAAAGAATTCTATTCTATCTTTATTATGGTCCTTGGGCAGCTTTTATAGTAAAAAAGAGATAGTTTGACATCACAATTCATTACTGGGGAAGGAAGGAAAAAAATAACAAGACAATAAAATGACCTAATTAAAACTTTTGCTCATTTGCATAACGTTGTGAAAGTATTGGAGCCCTGATATGTTAGTGCAGAGTTCAGAAATAACAGACATAAAATTTATCAAGGTGCCCCTTGTATTTGGAAATGATTTGGGGGATCGGAGCAGTGGCACCAATGAAACAGACAATAGAGTAAAGAATAACAGACATAAAATTTATCAGGGTGGCCCTCGTGTTTGGAAATGATTGGGGGGGGATCGAAGCAGCGGCACCAATGGATCTAAAAAAAAAATCCAGCCTCCCATAAATGTGTCAGGCTGTGACGTGAAGAGAGAAAGGAGTTGGATCAGCTGATCCAACGGAGAGAAGCATTCTGCCCCGGTCCCAGGTTTCATACGGCTTTAAATTCTCCAAACATTTGAAGATGAAATGGATCACTACTTCTCTCAAGTGAAAGGGAGAGGGGTTATGTGTGTGTGTGTTTGCGTGTCTGTGTGTGTGTGCCAACAACAACACAACAAGAAGGAACTTACGGCAGACTCCTCGTGAGGCGCCTGTCTCTCGGGCTCTTTGTAACCCAAAGGTGCATCGAAGTCTACCTGAATTGAAGTCAACGCAACACAGAGGTTACACCCAGCTCACAAATTAAGTCAACGCAACACGAAAGTTACACCCAGCTCACAAATTAAGTCAATGCAACACCAAAGTTACAGGCCACCATCATCAAGGGACCTATAAAACCACCCTATGTCGGGCACGAACGACCAGACACACCCGTGTAGAGTTTAAACTAGCTACTTTATTGTTCTATGCCCATAATACAGGAATCTTCCTAGACAAGTGTTTCTCAACCTTGGCAACTTTACAATGTGTGGACTTCAACTCCCAAAATTCTCCAGCTAGCAACACTAGCTGGAGAATTCTGGGAGTTGAAGTCCACATATCGTAAAGTTGCCAAGGTTGAGAAACACTGTCCTAGACGGATAGATTTTGCCTGAGAAAAACCATATAAGGCTCAAAAGCATTCAAGGGGTGGAGGGGAAGGGGGAGAATCAAACCTTGCTCTCGTGCTTATGTAAGCAGGGGGTTGGACTAGATGACCTCCAAGATCCCTTCCAACTTTATTATTATTATTATTATTATTATTATTATTATTATTATTATTATTATTATTATTATTATTAGTCCAGGCTAATTTCCTATTTGATCCCTCCTTCCAGCTGGGTCAGTTGCTCTCCAACATCCTTACATCCCTACTTTAAGATACATGGACTTCAACTCCCAGAATTCCCCAATCAGCATTGCTGGCTGGGGAATTCTAGAAGTTGAAGTCTACACATCTTAAAGGAGATGACTGTGAGAAACACTGATTTAGAGTCTGCTTCTTGGAAGACTTTGCAAGACAGTTTTGTTGTGTTAGAGCAGGGGTCTTCAAACTTGGCCCTTTTATGACTTGTGGACTTCCAACTCCCAGAATTCCTCAGCCAGGCACGCTGGCTGAGGAATTCTGGGAGTTGGAAGTCCACAAGTCATAAAAGGGCCAAGTTTGAAGAGCCCTGTGTTAGAGTGTTCTGAGCAGACACGGCAACTCCACCAGGCCAAAGTCTGCTCGGTTCCATTTTGTTACCGCATGGTTCATCTGCCCTGCCAGTGGCTTAGCCAAGATGGAGACTCTGTCCATCTCTGACTTACATTCATGTCACATTCAATGATGGACACTGCTTTGTCTGGCTTGGTCTCCATGACTCGAAGTTCATAGATCTAAAAGGAAGGAAGGAAAAAAAGAAAGGATGAAGAACAGGCTGGGTGGAAGTCTTTCCCATCCTTTAAAACTTAGCCGGCTGGGGAATTCTGGGAACTGAAGTCCACGCAGTTTAAAGTTGCGCAAGTGGTCTAGCCTCTCCTTCTCTGCAAAGGGCTGACGTTACCTTCTCATTGTAGTTGATGGCGATGACATCTCCTGTGGTGAGGCACGCAAAATTTCTGAGTGCGTTTTCCAATCTTCGGAGCGCGTTAAGTGGAAATACGGAGATCTCACGATTGCAATGAGGCAATCCCTTCTGATGGGCCTCTGGTTTAAGTGCTACCCTTTTCTATCTGATCTCAGGAGGAACTAGAATTCACCGTCTCCTGGTGATTGCCCCAAAGTCACCCAGCTCACTTTCTCGCCTCAGGAGGGACTAGAATTCACCGTCTCCCGGTAATTGGCCCGTGCTAATTTTTAATGGCTGTAAATCAAAGACTCCTTGCATACATTTAGAAGCAAAGAATTCCATCTCTAATTCATTGTTCCCTCTTGAAGGACCAGCCAAAAAGGATACACAGCTTTGGGGTTGGTGATGTCGAGAAAATCAGGACTCTGTGGCTGAAATTTGGAGTAAGTGGCTACTTGGAGGTTGACACTTTCCACTTGCACCAGGCCCCCTTCCTCCAGGAGAAGGTTCTGCATCATCTTAGGGAAAAAAAACACACAGCCAAACTGATTTTCAAGCAAGGCCCGAAGCTCAATACGTTTTTTCTATATAGTTTGCAAACAGTAACAATAGAAGCAGGAGGAGCGAATAACAAACAGAATTGCAACAGCCAGAGAGGACAAATTAATCTTTATTTTTTTCAACTAGGAAGGATAACCTCTCCCCATGGATGTCCACCCTTAACCAGTCTATCCGCAACTCCAGATCAAATCTTTTTAGTAAAAAAAAAAGAGGTCTCAAAATTGAGATGTGGAAAAAGAAAATGGGTGAAATAGAACAGAAATAGAAAATAGAATAGAAAATAGAATAGAAAATAGAATAGAAAATAGAATAGAACAGAATAGAATGACTGTGGAATAGAATAGAATAGAATAGAACAGAATAGAATTCAGAATGAATAGAATAGAATAGAATATAGAATATAGAATGGAATGGAATAGAATCATAGAATACAATACAATACATTAGTATACAATAGAATGTAGAACAGAATAGAATATAGAATGGAATGGAATGGAATAGAATCATAGAATAGAATACAATACAATAGTATACAATAGAATGTAGAACAGAATAGAAAGATTATAGAATAGAATAGAATAGAATAGAATAGAATAGAATAGAACAGCTTTATTTGGTGAACTGTGATTCGACACACACGGAATTTGTCTCTGGTGCCAAAATTCTCAGCGTACAAGCCAAGCAACAGAGTGTAATAAACATACTAAAGATACCAATAAGAGGGGTTACTAAAAAAGATGAGAAGGATAATAATACAGCCATGCAACATGGGTAAATATACATAGGCATTAGACTGTACTCTGAGGATTAGATGTTCAGCAGAGTGAAGGCAAACTTTATCTGCTTGTTTGCATCCAGCCTTTATTATTTTTACAAATAACTCAAGGCGGTGAACACATCCAACACATTCCTCACGAAATCTGTCCTATCGCTGTGTAAGGTTAAAGACTCAAAAAGGATCTTCAGAAAATAAATATTTGATTGTAAACAGTTTGGGGATTTTCAACCGAAAAGTGATATATACCTGTACAAATCAATAAAATGCATCCACTTTAAGTAATCCGCTTTATTATACGCGACCAATAGTTTAGGAACAAGAAATCGGTCGAATATTAGATGCTCTCATTGCTACGCTAAATAGGCACAGATTTGGGACACGTCGTGAAAACAGCATGTAAAAAATTTCACGTTGCCAAAGAGACTCAGAGCTGACTTCACGGAGGAATGCTAAATTAGATGCACAGGAGGTTAGTTTAAAATGCATTGTATTTGTGCAAAATGAATCTTGCCCCGTATTTGAGCAACCATATTTCTAATCTAATGGAACAAAATTGTCAACTTACCCAATGTGGAAGATAACAAATGCCTTCATCAGCCACAAATTCCAACACACCACAATGAGTCATCCGGTCTGAATTTTTATTCGTCAGTTTAAACAACATCGGGTAGGTGATATTAAGCCGACCTAGAGGAAACAAGTACACAGTCCTGCATGGGTTTTGTAGCGCTCTGGTGGCGCAGTGGTTAGAAGGCAGTATTGCAGGCTAATTTCTGCTGACTGCCAGCAGTTCGATCCTGACCAGCTCAAGGCTGACTCAGCCTTCCCTCCTTCCGAGGTCGGTAAAATGAGGACCCAGATTGTTAGGGGCTGTAGAGAGCCCTGTAATGCACTTAGAGAGGGCTGTAAAGCACTGTGAAGTAATATATAAGTGCTGTTGCTGTTGCCATATCCAAGAATAAGAATAAGAACAATGTCTTATTCTTGAAGTTTGCAGAAAATCCCTAGGACAGCTAATGCCATCAGTTTTTCCTTTCATTTTTTTAGACGGTGGTTTTTAATTTCCTTAAACTTAATTGCTTTCCTTCTTATCCCACTTTTTTTTCCCCTAAAAATGTCGAGACTGTACGTTGGCGGAGAGAACCTATCTTTGTGTAAAAATTGAAAATAATTTTTAATTGAAATTTTAATTGCTACGGTTAATTTTTATACGTTGTTTTACTTATCGGTTATATTACAGCATACACTACCCAGAACTCCTCTTTGAAGGGAGATGGGCAGTTTAGAAATATGATAGATAGATAGATAGATAGATAGATAGAATATACAGGAGATAGATAGATAGATAGATAGATAGATAGATAGATAGATAGATAGATAGATAGATAGATAGATAGATAGATAGATAGATAGATAGATAGAATATACAGGAGATAGATAGATAGATAGATAGATAGATAGATAGATAGATAGATAGATAGATAGATAGATAGATAGATAGATAGATAGATAGATAGAATATACAGGAGATAGATAGATAGATAGATAGATAGATAGATAGATAGATAGATAGATAGATAGATAGATAGATAGATAGATAGATAGATAGATAGATAGATAGACAGATTAATAAATAAATACTGCCAAACAAATAATTTTGGCCAAAGAGTAGGACAACAGTCCTTTAAAGAAATGATGGGCCATAAGAGAATATCAAGCATGAAAACACATTAAATATACACAACTTACTGAGTTGATCCAAAGCAGAAGGTGGCATAATTACTGCAGGAAAAGACAAAACAATTTGTTAAAACTGCTGGGAAAAATGGACAGCAACTAACAAAAGAAAGCAATTCTAGGACATTTAAACCTGATCCCACTCGTGGTTGTAATATTGGTTTATTATGCGGAATATCGGCTGCTGTGAACTGTTTACATCAAGATGTAAAAACGAGGCTCTCTATGAGGTAAAACAGGATGTTCCCACAGGACAACAGCGAAGGGACCCGCCCGGTCAGTTGGCAAACAGGTATATAGGACAGGAAGCACAACGCTCGTGAAGCAATGACGACTCCCTTCACCAGAGCACGAGACTAGGTTCTCCAAACAGGTTGAAAGAGATAAATCAGGTTTCTAGCAAACACTGGACTGTGAACAGATTTACAAGCTTTGGCAGCTGGATTGAGTACAAGCTGATCCGGTCCATTTTTTTTAAAGCGAATTAAGGAAAGGGAGGATACAGTTATTAAGGATTAATAGCCATGTTGTCTCCAGGTTATTTTTGTAAGATCGGAGGTGCCGTGTCTCTCCATAGCCGCTGCGTATAAAAATAATTCGAAATCACTTTGAAAAGCAGAATGCTTTTAAGCAAAGCCAAAGAGGGAGCTTTATAAATAATGCACAGCTATATTTATTCAGCTCATCAGGCAGGTTTCTTTCGAAAGCCGGTTCCAGAATAAAAGTGGGTTTATCCTCCTCTTCCTCCGGTCCCAAATTGAAAAGAAAGCCAAAGAATGCCTACTTTTTCCACCCTTCTCCACATCCGATCGGTCATTAGGGCCAGCGAGCATGGAGACGGAGAAACAGCGGTATTGGGTGGAGAAGCGGTTCTGGAAAACGCGGGGAATCGGATGGTCAAACATGTTGAAGGAAAACTGGAGGGAAGGAGAAGAGAAAGACAGGAGGCGTTAAGACCACCACGATTTAATTGCCATAATAATTTATGTTTTTAATTGATATGTTTATCTTTTACAATGCTAAGTCACCCGGGGTTACCTTGAGGCATGATGGGCAGCCAATAAATTTTACAAACAAGCAAACAAATACAGGTAGTCCTCGAAGCCAACAAGTCTGTTGTTAAGGGAGACATTTGTTAAGTGAGTTTTGCCCCATTTTACGACCTCACTTGCCACAGTTGTTAAGCGAAACACTGCAGTTGTTCAGTTGTTAAGTGAATCCGGCTTCTCCATTGACTTTGCTTGTCAGATGGTCACAAAAGGGGATCACATGACCCCTGGACACGGCAACCGTCGTAAATATGAGTTGGTTGCCAAGCGTCCAAATTTTGATAATGTGACCATGGGGGTGCTGCAAAGGCCGTAACTGTGAAAAACGGTCATAAGTCACATTTTTGAATTCCGTTCTAATTTTGAACAGTCACTAAACGAATTCTTGTAAAGCGAGGACTACCTGTATCAGAATAAATTGGAGAGAATTGGGACTCACACCCATTTTATTTCACCCTTTGAAACCTCAGAAGAAATCCCATCCTGTGTCTGCCCCACCTACAGGGGGTCTGTAGCCCACCCCTCCAGGATGGGGTTTGTAACCCAATCCACCTGCATGGGGTTTTGTAGTCCACCCTATCTGGATGGGATTTGTAACCCACCTTGCCTGGATAGGGTTTCATAGCCCACCACCTTTGGATCAGGTTTCATCCTGTTTCCACCCCTCCTGGAAGGGCTTTGGATCCCAATCCTCATGGGATGGGTTTTTGTAGTCCATCCCTCCTGGATGGGATGTATAGCCCAAAACCCGCCTGCATGGGTTTTGTAATCCCCCTTACCAGGAATGCGTTTTATACTCACAACCCCCCAGTGGGCTTTGTAGTCCATCCCGCCTGAACGGGGCTTGTAACTCACCCTGGCAGGGAGGCGTTTGTACCCCACGACCCCTGGCTGGTGTTTGTAGTCCATTCTCGCCGCCTGGGGTCTCCCACTTGGATGGGATTTGTAGTCCACCCCACCCAGGTGCGGTTTGAAGCCCACCCTGCCAGGATGGGACGCCGTACCCCACAACCCCTGGCTGGGATTTGTAGCCCATTCTGCCTGCGGATTTGCAGTCCACCCCGCCTGCATGGGATTTGTAGTCCACCCCGCCTGCATGGGATTTGTAGTCCACCCCCCTTCAGCCAGCCAAGCTCCTTCCCGGCCAGATGAGTCTGCATTTTCCCTCCCTCCCTGCCTCTGCCCCTCCTTCGACCCTCCCGGATGGGGAGGGGGTGTCCCGAGGCCTGTACCATGATGGCGACGCCTCCTCCGGTCTCCCCTCCCAGCCGGCCGAGGGTCCCCCCAAAAAACCGGCAGCCGCCGAGCCGCTTCTCCGCTCTTCACCCGGCCAGGAGCCGCTCTTCGGCCTAGGCCCAGGCCTCGTCACGGCGCCCCCCCCCAAATCGGGCCTTCCTGGGGAGCAAACGGGGACCAGACACCCCCTCTTCGAAGTATGGGGCGCTTCTGCGGGTCAGAGCAGGCAGGAAGCTTTAAAGAAGCGAAGAAACTACGCCTCCCAGAATGCAGTTCGAGCCATCGGTCCGTCGATATTTTTGTTCCGGTGGCGCGCAAACGACTCAAGCGGAACTGTAAATCTACCCGTTTTTCCCCCCTAGTCAAAGCAGTCGAGTCTCCTGGAAGATAGTCTGAAATACAGGAATGCCCACACGGCTTTCCTCATAAAGCGTCTAGGCTTGTTTTTAGGGGGTTTATCAACTCAAGACAGAGAGCGGGGAACGTTATAGGCAAAGGAATGCCCTTATCAAAGATGGCGGCCGCCAGTTTTGCCCTGTTTTTGCTGTTTTTGTTTTCATCCTGAAAGGAAAAAAAAATGGAGGTCACCCTCCTGGCCCAAGAGTTAAGCAGTCTTGCTTTGCAATATCTATTACCGGTACTGTTTAGGCGCTGCGGATAGGAACGGGAAAATGGATGGGGATAATTGATGGGGATTGTTTATTAAGAACAGAAGTCTGCTTCCCCCAAAACAAAACAAAAATGCGATCTGCTTCTTTCTACGTATTCTGATTGAATTATTTCAAGCCTTGGAAAGAGACGGGACCCTCTCTTCCCCCATCTGCGATTATCTTTAACCACCTATTTCCACCCTTTTGGCCCCGCAACACATGGAATGATGCTATTGCGAGCCGGAAGTCTCTCTCTGAAACTCTAAAGACCGTATCCCCCTTTCTGTTCTCTGCGCTCTTTGAGACCGGCGGGGGAAGAAGAGGGCGGGGCTGAATAGGTGAAACCCGCCCATCCCGCCCGTCAGAGCGAGATCCTCGGTCTCCGATTGGTCGCTTTCCGTAAGCGCCGCGGCCAATGAGGAAAGGCGCTGCTTTGGCGCCTTCCTTGAAGCGGGTCTTTCTTCTCGCGCTCGGCCGCCATTGTTGCCTTCGCGGCCGGTCATGTTCCTGACAGACTTTCGGAAGGAGTTTTACGAGGTGGTCGTGAGCCAGGTGAGGGGGCCGGAGCCTTTCGGGGGGGTCAGGAGGAGGAGGAGGAGGAGGCTGAGGAGCATGGGCCTTGTCATCCTTCGCCCCCCCCCTCAGTGGGTCTACCCGATCTGGCTGTTGTGCAAGCAAACACTGCTGAGGGGGGAGGAACGGAGTGGAGTTGGGCCTGGACAGAAGCTGAGGGTTTTCCCTTTCAATGCTGAAAGAGCCGGAGTCGTGGCTGGGGAGGATGGGCGTTGTAGTGCAGCTTGGGTATTGTAGTCCAGCTTGGGGGTTGTAGTCCGCCTTTGTGCTGGCTTGTGACAGGGTTGGGATGAGGCAGATGGACGTGGGCAGAGCCCAGGGATTTGTTTGGGGGAGGAGGGGTGGCTGGGGAGGATGGATCTTGCACTCCACCATTAAAAAGCTTTGCTTCAGTGGGCTGATCTGCTGGGGCTTCTTGTATCGGCCTCCTCTGCCAGGGTTGTGGAGCTGGGCCTGGTGTGTGTGTGTGTGTTTGTGTGTTTCCCTTTCAGGGTTTTGGGGACTGGTGGCTGGGGAGGATGGGTATTGCATTCCACCATGTAAAGGCTTTGTGTCTGGGGGCTTATCTGGTGGGGCTGTTGAACAGGCCTCTGCCAGGGTTGTGGAGCTGGGCCTGGTGTGTATGTGTGTGTGTGTGTGTGTGTGTTTCCCTTTCAGGGTTTGGGGGACTGATGGCTGGGGAGGATAGGTATTGCATTCCACCATGTAAAGGCTTTGCATCTGGTGGGGCTGTCCAACAGGCCTCCTCTGCCAGGGTTGTGAAGCTTGGCTTGGTGTGTGTGTGTGTGTGTGTGTGTGTTTCCCTTTCAGGGTTTTAGGCTCTGGTGGCTGGGGAGGATAGACATTGTAGTGCCTTGGGGTTAGAGCATGGCCAATGAGATCCCAATGGATGAGTCCAAGCTCTGAAATGGGAGAAAACTTTTCAGAACTGGCTTTGTGGAAGTAAGCAAAGCCCCTGAAATTGAGGAGGTGAAGGTGAAATTGACCAGATTGGAGATGGATTAAGGGAGCTGCTGCTCCTAACTAGAAAAGGGAGAAAAACAACCTGGTAGTTGCTAACTTAACATTTATACTTTCTTATAGCGGGTGCTGCTTCTGGTGGCTTCAGACATAGATGCATTATGTGCTTGTAAAATCCTCCAGGTAAGTCTGCCCTTCAAGTATTTTGAGCGTACAAGTGACAAAATATTGTGCAATGGGGTAAAAGAACTGTAAATAAGCAGGCAATGAATATTTCCAAATAAATGAATGTACTGTTAGTATCCTTCTTGCAAGGCAATCAGGGACAATGGCCCAAGGGTGAGGTAATTGACGGAGTTCGTCTTATTTTCTTAAAAATGCATTACTTTCAGTTACAATTACCTCCAAATATATACCAGATCTTCCCTGTAGTAAATGCTCTCCGGATGCTCTTCTAATGATAAATGAATTAGTATGCAATTAGTAGAGAGTCATTAGATATAAGTTGGATGGCAAATAAAATTTATAAATATAAATAAAATATTTACAGAAATAACTTTACAGAAAGAGGAAAAAAAATCATCCTTGCATGATTTTGATGATTTCCATGATAAAATGCCAACTTCCTTCCAGCCTATGAATCATTTGTTATCTTAAATACAGTAAAAATGCAAAATTAGAGTGTTAAACAACATGAGCAATTAACAAAGCTCTACAGTTCTAGCTTGTTTGTCTTTAAATATAATTGATATATGTACAGTTGCTCAAAAAACTTGCTTGGATGCTGCTATTGCTATACTCAGTTAAGTGAAGGAACAGTATTAATCTTTGCTCTTAAATCTAGCCTTCATTTTTCTTCAGGCTTTATTTCAGTGTGATCATGTGCAATATACATTAGTCCCGGTATCTGGATGGCAAGAACTGGAAACAGCATTTCTAGAACATAAGGATCAGGTAAAGAAAAATAAATAAATGGGACATATATAAAATACAAATAAGGGTGATGGAATACAATCTCTTTCTCTTGAACCTACTGTACATTATCTAAGATAGATAGATGGATGGATGGATGGATGGATGGATGGATGGATGGATAGATGATTGATTACACAGCCTTTCATGCAGACTTATTTCCACAACCTATTTGCTTTTATTTACAGTTCAAATACTTTGTGCTCTTAAACTGCGGGGCCAACATTGACCTGCTGGAAATCCTTCAACCTGAAGCCGATACTCTGTTCTTTGTTTGCGATACTCATAGACCTATCAATGTAGTGAACGTTTACAATGAGACGCAAGTAAGTTCCCCTTTTTGAGAAAAAGGTTGACTTCATAAACGAGGCCCAGTTTCCTGGAGTTTGTTCTTGTAATATTATGCCCTCTACAGGATGGTGGCAAGTTCTCTGTGGATCCTGTGCTGTTATCTGAGCAATTTAATAATGACTGGGGATGCTGACTTTTTATTATCAGTTACTGGAAATTTACAGTCGTTCTTTGTCTATGTTTTGTTTTGACTCAAGACACTGCTGTCTAGGGATGTTTTTCATAACTACTCTTTTGATAAAGCTGAAGGAACAATAACAAGCTGCAGGGGTGGCTTGATCAGGCCCTATTTTGTAGATAAAGTTTTGCAGTTCTATATTAGGACCTTCATAATCTTTCAGCAACTTCCAAAGCATTGTTTCTATCCATTTTGGTCTAGGGCATGGGTAGGCAACCTTGGCTCTTTTATGACTCGTGGACTTTAACTCCCAGAATTCCTGAGCCAGCACGGCTCAGCTTAGAAACTTCTCCCTTTCCCCTCAGCATGGCTGGCTCAGGAATTCTGGGAGTTGAAGTCCACGAGTCATAAAAGAGCCGAGGTTGCCTACCCCTGGTCTAGTGGTTAAGGCACTTAACTAGAAAACTAGGAGGCTGTAAATTCTAGTCCTGCCTTGGGCATGAAAGACAGCTGGGTGACTTTGGACCAATCACCAGGAGGCTGGGCTTTCTAGTCCCACCTTACCCATGTGACCTTGGGCCAATCAGGAGACAATGAGCTCTAGTCTGGCTTTAGGGATAAAAACTGGCTGGATAACTGGGACAATCTCTAACTCTCTCAGCTGATCTCACCTCAAAGAGTTGTTGTAGGGAATATAGGAGGAAGAAGTACAGGGAGTCCTCAACGTACGACCACAACTGAGCCCAAAATTTATGTTGCTATGTGAGACATTTATTAAGTGAGTTTTGCCCCACTTTACAACTTTCCTTGTCACAGTTGTTAAGTATTAAATGAACCTGGCTTCCCCATTGCTGATCAGGCCACAAATGGGGATCACTTAACCAGCAACGGTCATAAATATGAACCACTTGCCAAGTGTCTAAATTTTGATCACGTGACCACAGGGATTGCTGCAAAGATAACAAAAACAGTCATAAGTTCACTTTTTTCAGTGCCGTTGTGACTTTGAGCCGTCACTAAACGAACTGTTGTAAGTCGAGGACTACCTGTATTAGGTATGTTCGCCACCTTCAAGTGATTAAAAAAAAATCTAAAGGTGGGATTAAAAAACATCAGCAATCGGGTTAACCATTGTACGTGACAGTCATGCAAATGGAGGAAAGGTGGAGATGAAATTTGGTAGTACAAGTTTTAAATTTAGTATAATTTAGTAAAATATTTTACTGTGTGGTCTAAAATTTTCCATAATCGATAATAAATTCTACCTGCTTCTTGTGTTTCGCCAAGGTCATTGCTGGGATTTACAGTTGCTTTATTTAAATTTTACTAGATCAAACTCTTGGTCAAGCATGAGGACGACCTCGAGATTCCTGCCTATGACGATATTTTCAGGGAGGAAGAG